CATTAAGGTTCATGTGGAGTCTCTCTAAACTATAATTTTCTAGATTTAACAAAAAAGAAAGAATTGAATAGTTTTGGAATTCTAAAACACTGGGGATTAAAATACATATAAACTAATCTATATAATACTCAACAAAAACAAATTACTTTCATCCATTTCTAACGAGAACAGAGTTTTATATATAATACTGTTTTATTATGAGCATTTCAAATTTAAAAGTATAAATAAAACAAATAATAAAAACCTTAGAACAAGTTAGGACTTGAATTATGATGAGTAATGAAATATAACTCTCCAACTCTAACATAGAAAAATTTAATGAGGTATAATAAAAAAAAATATTCAAAATTGAATTGGCATTCTAAACAATGTAAAAAAAAAAAACATTTACTACAACAAAAATTATAAACATACAAACCACAGAAATAATAAATAACATATTGAACAAATGATCAAAAAACATAAACCATTTAGATTGTAATTCAGTTATTTGCTTATTTGAAAAATTTACTGTTCACAGTGTGTTTTCATCAATCACTTTTTTGACAGCTCGTTTTAATAAGTCACCAACAAGATAATCAACTGAACTTTTGCTGTAGTTATCTTTTACTGGATCATCTATCAATCCTACAAAAAAGTTTTAAAATTACTTATTTATTTACTAAATAAAAATTGTAATATGAAATTATAACACCATCATATTCAAAATTGTAAAATTATTTTTATTGCAAACTACTAATTCAAAGTCAAAATTTTAAAATCGAAATAAAAAGTATCTTCAAAATAGGTTTAAATTTAAAATAAAAAAGCCTATATTAAATATACAGTTTTACCTATAAGATATTTGTAATGATTTGTTTTAATAAAAGCACGCTTGCCTTTTAAGTCATCTTTACTGAATTGTTGTTGCAGAGATCTTAAAAACATTGAATTTAAACCATTCTTCACTGAATTTCTCACATTCTTCCCACCAATCAACATTAACTGTAATTTCTATAAATTACAATTAAAATAATAACTACAAAATATTTTATAATAATAACAACATAACCTATTTTTGAATATTTTGAAAAGAGTGATCAATTACAAATGCCCCTGAAAGAAAAAGTAATATTAGCTTGTAGCGCAATCATCCATTAAAATATTTCACCTTCATTTTCATATATGCTTTTTCTTCTAACTTTTTTTTCAAATTTTACTTCTTCCTCATCAAAGTCAAATAAATAATTTATTCTTTTTAACTCTTCAGAGCTTTGATAAGCAAAACTTGAATTTCCATTTAAAAGCTTGCTAAAACTTTCAAGTTTATCCAAGATCAGAGCTTGATTTTCTTTAATTGATCTAACTTCCATTAAGGAAACATACTGAAACTCTGAAATATCAAAAGCAGAAACAATAGTAAAATATTTTGATTTTAATTTTATTCAAAAATTAGCTAAACTTATGTTTATTAGTCATTTCTTTAAAATTTGCCCTACCATCTTCAAGTTTAGTGGAGTTTCATGACAGATTCGATGAGGTTGTGAAAGAGCTGTGAGAATTTGACATAAAATCGGTGTAATTGCGCTTTTTTTGTGTTTCAATTTCTGGATGTGTCAGTTCTAGTTTTGTATTTGGAAAAGTTAGGGGCGTACTCTGACTTTTTAGATTAAAATCAACGGGCAAGCTTTTTCCTCCTCCTCCCGCATGTTTCTTTTTTAAAACAGGACTTTTAATATGGTCTTGCAAAGGATGTGCTAAGCTGAAAAAATCACATCAAAATAATTGAACAGAAAATAATTTATATGAGAAATAAACTAAAACATATTTTCAATAAAACCAGATACTAATTATTTCAAATGAACTACTTAATAATTTAAGCAACTATTTACCTATTATCTTTTTCTGAATCAGAGGATTCTGTGGTTGACATCATAAGCATCATTTGATCTGCTTCATTTGATCTGCTTCATTTTTTGTCCCAGTTTCTAATATTGTTTCAATAATTTCAAAACATTTCCAGTCACTTTCTGGTAAGGACCAACCAACAATATGCTCCTAAAGGTTTACCTTTTGGGGGCCAGTATATACAATCCTTGATTATATCAACCCAAATACTAGGTAAAAACACATAGTTTTTGTTTGTTGTTTGTTTTCCATGATTATACGCACTGACCAACATCTATAATTAAAAAATCTGTCAGAAACAATCAGGATAGAGCCAAAATATGAAATTAATGTTTTGTTTGAAAAACATTTTTCATAAATTTTATAAATTCCATATGAATAAAAAAATAATCAAAAAAAAAAAAAAAAGATTTTGTTAAGAAAAAAATTATTTTATAAATAGCTTATTTATTTCTATAGCAAACATACAAAAATAGATTTTGATTTTTTCTCTAAATGACAGGTTTATTTATTTGTAAAGTATTTTCCTTATTTAAAATTTTAGTGAAAATAACACAACAACAACAAAAAAATTCAATCATAAGAATATCAAATGCAAACCTCCATTTAAAAAAATGTAATTTAAAATAGAACAACTTAAGATAGTAATACCAAGTAAAAATCACTATTTCAAATAAAATTAAAAATATTTAAGTCCAGTAACATTACTGAGAAATGGTATGATTACATTTTTATTTTTATATGCGAACAGTTCACCTACTTTCTTAACACATTTCAATGGCCTAATGTTATTTTTGATAAAATAAATATTAAGTTCCTTCAAGTCTATAAATAAATTTAAAAAGTTTTGCAAAATGTCTCTGCATAATTGCATTGAAAATTGTCACATTTAAGTTTATTAACAATAAAAACTACTCCACCTTGCACTAAAAAACAACTATCCTTAGCTTTAGTAGATATTGTAGTACTAATAACCTTTTAAAACCACAATGCTGGAATACAAAAGAAAGCTCCGAAACTCAGTTGCTTTCCATCGACCCAGCTTAACTAAAGACCAAGGTTGCCGTATGAATTCGGTAGGTAGTTTTCCTTGTAACAGTAACAGATTATGAGAAAGTTTTATTATTTGTGTAGAGGACAGTCTTCCATCAAATAAACTGTTATAATGCCCTTTAAAATAATTCAAAACTATGTGTGTTACCCCTAGGAATACCAAGTGCATATAGTCTAAAGTAAAAATATTTACCATTTTAATATTTAATTAAAGTAAAATAAATATAGGAGTCTGATGACATTTGCCTGATAAATCAGGTAAACCATAAATATAGGAGTGGAATAATTCATTAGTTCTCATAAAAATATTTCTCTCTGCATAACTGTAGAACAAACGACGTTTAAAATCAAAACCTTTCTTGGTACATCTTTCACAAGCATAATAACCTGTGTGCTCAACTATTCCTTTTAACCAAGCCCTGACTGGTGCATCACATGTTATAGCAAAAATAGAAACAAAATAACTATTATCGTTAAATATAAAAGGTTTGGATGTAATTAAAATAACTTCATTTACAAAATCTTTCAAGAATTCTTTTATATGTGTTTTTTGATGTCCACAATAAAGAGCAACAGCAATGGGATCAAATTTTCTAAATTGAATTAGAGTTGTCCATAGTTGAATTAAACTTGATTTAAATAATGGTAATCCATCAAGCATATTGAATATGTAGAACATTGCTTTCGTTAATATTATTTAATTCTTGAGGTAAAATTAAATATTGATCATTAGTATATAAACTTGAAGTAGATGAAACATAACTGTTATCAGGAGATTGTTGTGTTGGCAGTTTTAAATTTTGTTTAAAACTAAGATCCAATGTTTAAATCTTGAAAAATAGAAAAAGGAAATAACTAGTAATCATTGTTTTTTAACTCCTTCAATTTTAAACTCAGTTTTTTAAGCACACATTTTACAAAATGAATAACAATGAAAAATACGATTTATTACTATTTTGTCAACATTTTCACTTCTGGATTTTTCAACTATGTACAACAATTAAAAATATTTAACAAATTCAATTAATATTTTTATATTTCATATTTATATATTTGCATATTTCTATAATTCATATTTATAATTCATGTTGTTGGGAAAAATACTTATAAATAATGAACAAATAAATTTTAAAGTAGAAGATCTATGATCTTAATTTATAATAAAGGATACAACTTATTGGTTATAACTGTGTTATGATAAGTAATTCATTTGACAAATTATTTATGTGTTAAAAATTAAATAAAAATTAAATTCATAAAGAAGTTAAAACTATAACCCACCTTTCGTTGTTTACAAAGTTTTTTGCAGATCGTTTCATTTTAAATTTATTGTTAAAAAAATAATTTAAAAACTATAGGAAACAATTTCAGCTCGTAAAGAAAATGGCCGTCAATTTCAATAATCACAATGTTTGGCTTAAGTCCGCGTAACATTTGAAGCATGAACAACTAAACTTAGACGTCATTTGGACGTCTATTGGACGTCCAAGAAAAACTTAAACGTCCATTGGAGGTCCGGTTCTTCAAACGGACGGACCTGTTTTGGACGTCCATTAGACGTCCATTCGACGTTCGATGCCCACTGGGGCAGTGGTAGCGCACTTGCCTCAGAAACGTAAGATCCATGGTTTAAACCCCAACTGGGCAAGTTTTGTGACATCGGTTGGGAAGGAGGCGTGCACTTTCTAATAAATGCTCTTCGGCAGTGCTCTGTGATAAGACTGTAAGGACTTCTTGGGACACCTAAAAAATAACAACAACAGCAAAAAGTTTCAAATTATCAAAATGGATTTTCAAAAAAGCGTAATAAGTGAAAACATTGGTTAATCAAACAGCCAACCAATTTTAATCAAAATTAAAAACATTTTTTTTATCATGACATTTTTATTGGGTTGTGTTTGAAAAAATATTTTTTACTTGACTCTAACGACTAAAGAAGTACGTATGCAAAAAGGGTGACACTGTTAACTTTTCTCATATTTGGAATTATTGAATGTTAAACTATTTCGTTTTTTTTAGTTTTCATTTTTTATATATCAAATTAAGTTAATGTTTATTAGGCACCTCGGGTTACTGAGCCAACACCTGTAACTCCTGCTACTAGTGTTACTCCTCCAACTCAGGAGATCAAAGTCAAAGCTCGGTACAATTTTCCAGGAAATGTAAGTTTTTCTAATAGTTTTTATGGAATTACTGTTTGTAACTCTTTCTAATAAATACCTTTTTTTAGGATCCTGAAGATCTTCCTTTTAAGAAAAATGACATTTTGACTGTGCTAAAAAAAGAGGAGCAACAATGGTGGATGGCAAGAGATAGCATGGGAAAAGAAGGAATGATTCCTGCAAACTATGTAGAATTAGTAAGCTATTTTTGTAAGCAGGTATTTATGGAATCTAATTAGTAAGCAGGTATTTATGAAATCTAAATTTGTATTCCGATGCTTAAAAGTCCGGTAAAAGTGACCATTACAAAAAAAAGCAACAATAAAAAGTGGTGATTTACTCAAAATATTAAGTTAAAAAAAGGCAAGATTTTTATTTGAATGCATACTGTCTTTTAAAAATTTAAGTGTATACTTTAATGCACATGAAAACAAAACAGGAAAAGCAAATAAAATAGTTAAAAGAGGATATTATATCATAATTTATAAATTTGTAAATCTTTAAAAAAAAAAAAAAAACACTTTCTCAAATTTTCGGATATCAGTGTATTGCAATCGCTCAAGCTAATTGAAGTTTTTTTGTTTCTTTTTATTATTTAGTTACCTAATCGGCTATCATACCCATTAAATAACCCACCGAGTACTAAGCCTCTAAGATCTTCTATTCATAGTGGCGGTGGTGGCTACACTTCACCACCAAATGTTGATTCGGTATTTTTTTTTGTTTGTTTGTTTGTTTTAAAGTTTCTTTTTTCTCTTCTTCAATTTTTTCTTTATTATTTTTTCAATGTAATTCTTAAAACAGACAACACCTGCTAGTGCAGCTAGTGTACCTGTTATAGCTGAAGCTATGCAAGACAGAACGCCAACCATATACGATCCTTGTGAATTAAAATTTCAAGTAAGTTGTGTTTTTTTTTTCTTTTCCTTTTTCTTATTCTCTATACCTTTTAATGTAAAAATTTTTTAATTTATAGAAAGGCGACCGTATTTTAGTGCAAAGTATGCGCGAAGACGGAACTTGGGAAGGTCAGCTAATGAACGGTAAAAGGGGAATTTTCCCTTTCACATACGTCAAAATAATTTCTAATAAGCCGCATGATATCGCTGCCTGGAAGGCATCTTTCACCCAAATATAGTGATATAGTGTAAAGTAAGTTATTATAAATATTGTTCTCTGATCATGCTAACTCAGCAGAAAAGTACCATGTATCTCGGAGCTTCCTATTACTGAATTGCTTGAATGTTTGGATCATTGGTTTGCTTTAAGCGCCTTTAATGTAGCGCCTGGCATTTTGATACAATTGTTCTTTTATTAGGTCTCTCAGTATTTTCGAAATTCAATATTAGATGCTGTTTGCTTTTTCTGGCTACATGGGATGTTGCAACGCGTAACCACTATGTTAAATTTGTGTTAAATTTTGTCAGATTTTTATTACAGCTACGTTTCGGGTGCTTACATCAAACCATGCATGGCAACTTTATTTTTATACTTTGAAACGAATTGTTATAAATATTTATATATTTTTTTCATGTATTTTTGAAATTTTTTATTTTATTTTATTTTTATTACACCGTTTTGGCGCTATATCGTTTTAAACTTTACTTTGAAAAAATTTTATAATACGAACTTTTTTTTTTTTGTTTGTCTTAATATTAAAATAAATTGTTTAAATATTCTGTTAATTTGGAAATAGAAGTTGAATTATTGTGAATTTTGAATAATATAAAATAAAAAAATTTCAGTGATTTGACGTCGAATCGATTTGATTGTGTTGTGTATTTTTTTTTGCGAGGCGTAATTTTAAGTGATTCGTTACCATTCTCTTTACTTTTGCATTCTTTGGTTTCTTCGAAATTTGCTAGAGATTCGTATTTAAAATAAACATTTATATGTGACCATTCGCGCTCGATTTAATTCTTTTTGGTAGAATAAAGTAATGATTATTTTAACTGTTTTGCTGTTAAAGTAGGAAGTCTATTTTATATTTCATTTAAATGAAAGTCCTGTTTTATTTGTACATTGTATTACCGTAATTCTAGACTGCTGTTAGGAAAAATTTCCATTTATTTTGTATATCTGTAAAAATGTCTTTCAATAACTTTTGGAAATAAATTTATACGTTTTATCATTTTCGTTTTTGTTTTGATCATTTGATGCCCTATTATAATGATATCATCATTAAGGGCAAACTCGAATTATTTCAAGAAAATTACGGTGATATTAGCCTGTGATCGTAAGACTTTTTAAAAGTTGACTTCACCCGCTAGTATTTTTGTTGTTGTTGTTGTTTGTTTTTCATCACATTTTAAACAGCATTTCAATATAAAATAAAGTATAAAAATTTTAAGTAAAGATCATAAAAGAGAAATATAAATATGAAATAAAAAGTTGTAAAAGCTAAACAAGATATTTACAAATTTTTTAAAGAATCCGTTAAAAATGTAAAGATTTGTAGTAAGCACCAAAAAAAAGTTTGTTTTATTAAAAAGTCTCATAGGATCCTACAAGAATTTAGAGCAAAAAAACTGTCAGATTTAATACCCATTAATGTAAAACACAAGTTAAAAATATGGTTATAGTTATCAAATTTATATATATATATATATATATATATATATATATATATATATATATATATATATATATATATATATATATATATATATACATATATATACGTATATATATATATATATATATATATATATATATATATATATATATATATATATATATATATATATGTATATAAAACAATTTAAATAATTCTCCTAGGTGCCATCCATAAAGGACGTCACCATTTTATAGCCAATTTTTGACCCCCTTCCCCTGTGTCACCGGTTGTCCTTTTTCCCTATATCCCCTTGAAAAGAGTGTCATAAAATCCTAACGCCTACCCCTATTTTTAACCCCCAAAAAATTTATTTTATCTTGCAATGGTATTGGAATCTGCTGCTACACCTTTGAAAAATAAAATCAAAAATATTCTCATACATTACCTTCTTAAAAACATTATCTTCTTAAAAAAAAAATGTTTACACAGTTTTCCATGTTAATTAAACTAAAATATAAAATCTATAAAGTAACGTCCTTTTCTAACAACCTCCCCCTCTCCCCTTTCCTTTTTTGTTCTTTTTATCTCAACGACGACCTTTATCGACCACTGTTTACCTCGTCTGACAAAATTTGTGGATTGCCTTTGAATTGTTTTTACTATCAAATTACAAATAATGTCAAGTTTGTTTTTAGTGACTTTTTATTAACTTTATATTTTCAATGTGCGGTTTTGTAAAGGTTTCATTACTTTAAATATTTTATTTGACATCACAGCATTTAATGGCTAGGTTTTAAGCTTATTTGTGACAATGTCTATGTAAATTGAATCTTTTATTCGACTTTTTCTCGATTACTTCAGATTTTAGAAGCAAATATAGTAGCAACTCTGTTATAACAGTTGATCACAATTGAATACAAATAAACTTATTGTGTTCTTGCTATCATCAAAATTCATTAAATAACCCGTTGGTTCATGGAAACGTAACTTTTTTTATTTAAAAAAAAAATGGTAAAAAGATATCTGTTGACTTTAAGTAAAACTATGGTAACATGATCATTGTTTCGGATCTTTGTCAAACGAACTTTGGTGTTTAAATGTAAAGGCTAGTTAGAATCATGAGGTTTGGTTTTAACTTTCTTATTATCAACACACTTTTACCAACATACTTTTTAAATTGTTTGTGGACCTTACTTTGTTTTTATCAAAATATTTGCATGAAAATAATATTTTAGCCAAATGTAATAACTGACGATTATTGCTTTCGTTTCAAAGCAGCAAAAACAAACAAACAAACAAAGATAATATTACTAACTATAAAATAAGTAATTTAATTGGTTGCCCTAGTACCCTAGTTAGGACTTAAGTAAATAAGTTAATAATAAATAATAAAATCAATTATAACAATGTGTTTTGTTTTGTTTTTTAATTTGTTGCAAACTTCGCTTCGTGTAATTAAATTATTGCTGACTGAGAAGTTATCCTCGTTAATATCTTTACATTACTTTAGCATTCAAGGTTTAGGAATATTGTAATAATCAGTAAATTCAAAAATTTCAATATATTTTTTTTCAATTCAAACTTCATAAACTTTAATATAAAGTTTTTAAAAATGATAATAAATGTATATTGCTAAATATTTAAATTTAAATAGTTGAATTAAATTATAACTTTTAATAATTGATAAAATAACTACAAATATATATGATATGATGTGAGAACTAAAAATATATAAAAAAAATAAATTTTAATATTAGTTAATTTTTTTGATATTTATGAAAATATAATATTTCCATAACAAAAATTTATTAACATAAAGTCAAACAAATTATACTGCATGGTAATTATCGCACAACAAACAAACACTTTTCTTTTTACCGTTGTTTAAGTAAATCCTTTTAATTAAAATAAATATCTGTTGTTGCTATTTATTTAATCAAAAAATAAAAAAATATTTAAAAACCTCATTGTTTTTTTCACAACAATAATTTTGAATCTCTAAAAACACAATAATAAAATACTTTTATAGTTGATATAAATTTCATAATAAAAGTTTAAAATATAAAAATAATTATATAATGCACTGTATGTAACTAGTTCAAAGTTTAAAGTTTGTTTAGTATAAAGGACAGTCAAGTGCAGTTTGACGTGTGAACAGCCAGGTAAACGTCCAAGTAATTTTTTTTTTAAATTGCAGCATGTGATATTTTATACGACATTTAAATGTTTATTTATTTGTAAAATTTTTTAGAGTGTAAAACGTTGTATTTTATTATGCAATATTAAATACAGGGTTTAAAATTGCGAACATTAAAGGAATGGTGCAAGAATTTAAGTTAAAATTGAGTTAAGAAAAAATTTGAATTTATTTAATAAATAATTTAGCGCATTAGTTTGAATAAGCCTTCAGAATCAAGAAATGCAAGAATCAATGTCTACTCTTGTCATATATGTAACATTGATATAAAAAGTGGCATAAACTTTTTTGCTAAATGTTCTTTGACAACCCGTTAGGTTGCTTGGAGCAGTTTAATAGTGAAAAGAAAGAATATTAAAAAAACAAAAATTACAATGTATAATAAGGTATAACCAATTAAAAATAAAATTTTCTTGAAAAAAAAATTGAAATAGAGAGATTTTTCTAACTGCTAAAATACTCTTCCTATATCCACTTATATAATATTCACTGAAATGATGATATACCAATTCATAAGATGTTAATAAAAGTATTTTTTTTTGGTGTATTTAAAAGACTTGATTAAAAAACGATGATTTTATACAGTGTTTTTTATTTTAATTTTTTTTTTTTTATAAATCTAAGTAATCTTTATCACAGTCAATCATAGAAATCTAAGCATGCTTAAAAACTCTAAGCATGCTTAAAAACTCTAACCATGCCTAAAAACTCTAACCATGCCTAAAAACTCTAACCATGAACTCTAACCATAAAAACTTAAAAATATTAAATGTTTAAATGTAAAATATTAAGTTTAAATGGTTATAAATCTTAAGATTTTTTAATAACAGTTTTACATCAATTTAAAAAAGTTCTGAAAAACTTTTTATTCTAACTTTTAGACATTATCCCGACGGGCATTTGTTTTTAGAAGTTACGTTCTATATGTGTTTTAAATGTCTTTTAAACGTCTTTTAAACATTAATGTTTAAGAGACGTTTAAAAGACATTTTAAATACATTTAGATCGTAACTTTTAAAAAGAAATGCCCGTCGGGATTATCCTTACAATTAAAATATTATTTTAATTTTCTTTTCGTAATTACTACAATTATCATCAGCACTTTTTGTTTATTTTTTTTTCTTTTTTATTATTATTAAAATCTGCAAATTGATTTCTACATGTTTTTTTTAATGTATATTTTATGTGCTTTGGTCTGCGTGTGTTTCAGTGTGTGTCTTTGCTTATTATTACTTATACTATATTAAAAATTAGTGTCACTCCTTTGATCAGATTTTTGTACCATGCTTAAAAACTACGATACTAATATTTAAATTTTGTGAACAGAGCTTTTTGTCAAACAGGAAACAAATTTATCAAACAGGAAACAATTTGGCTCATGTAATTGAGTAAAAAAAGTGACTTTAGAATTGATCCTGATTGATGTAACACTAATCTAACATCAATACTGTCGCTTTTAATTTGTATGAAAAATTGAAATAAGTTTTTAATATTTCAGACTCAGTTTTATTTGCTAGCATTTGATATAGTCACTATTTATCGGTTTGCCACATTTGACAGCTGCCACTAATGGCTCACTAAGTATCTAATGAGCAAAACTAAAGTGGATTGCTCAAAACGACTGTATAGGTTCACTAAAATTTCGATGTAGAATGTTTGTTGGATTTATTTAACAGTACATTTTTCAAAATAAAAAAACATTGTTAAGTAAGTTCAAACGTTTTCAAAATTTGACAGCATGATATCACAAAACTCCATTAATTTTTTAAAATCTTTTAGTTCTTGCACTGTACTTGGTCTGAATAGTCAAAAATATATTTTTTAAATAGCGTATAACAGTTGCTTGTGCTCATCCATTTTTTTAACGTTTCCAAAGGTTTGCGCTGTAATAATAGAACGAGATTTATCATTCTCGATATACACATATATATATATATATATATATATATATATATATATATATATATATATATATATATATATATATATATATATATATATATATATATATATATATATATATATATATATATTAACAACCAAATATGTTTATAATAGTATTTTTTTTTGCTCATAGAGCTTAAAAAACTTAAAATAAAAGTCTTTTTTTTTTGTTCAGGCCGTGCAAATATATATTTTTTTAAAACAATTAAATACAAACAACTTTTATTATATGCTTTTGTTTGCATTTAAACTTTATTTAGTTTAAATAAAGTTTAAATGCAATTTATATTAAAGTAATTAATATATTTGCCTTTAAATTTTATTTACTTGAAATAAAGTTTAAAGGCAAATATATTAAATTATGATTTATTTAGAAATTTTAAAAATACTTAAACGTAATCAAGTAAAATGTGTATTAAAGGATGCATTTTATACAAAATCGAATTAACAGAAGTTGGCCCATTAAAATGCGTTTTTGAAAGCTACCCTGATGATGAAGAGCCAACGGGAGACGACCAAGAAATAACTATTTGAGAATTAAATATTTAAAGAAATATCAATTTTAATAGTTAGTATATATTATGATTGTTTTATATTTAATAAAATACTTTATATTAGCTAATTATGTAAATTATTTATACTAAGCATAAAAAAAAAACTCAAGAAAATTTCCAAGATAAATCGATATTTAATTCTAGTCTTTTAGAATTTTAACAAAACTAAAGATTTATAGTTTATTAGTAATTGAGCATAAAATGTATATTGTATTTATAAACAGATCTAATCTATGTATTTACGTATTGCAATAAAAAGTTCGAGTCTAATTAATTTTTTTTTCTGTGTTTGAGTTTATTGTGATATTATTTTATGATATTGTTATAAAAAACCCAGAGGTGATTCTAAAGGGGCATGTAAGGATGTCATTCCTTTCCCCATCCCTTCCCCTAAAAATGGTAACTTTCAATTTATAGTCGGTTTTTTGAAAAATATAATTTAAGAAAGCACTCGATTTGCCTCCCTCCCTCATTTTATTCTTAGAATCCAAAGTGTGAAATCAAATTGATTTGCGTTTGAATTGTGATCAAATTGATTTGCGTTTATTTTGAAGCGCCATTAAAAAGTAAAAAGCAAAATAAACGCTAAGCAAATAAAAACTAAACTATTTTTGTAAAAAAAAAAAAAATCTTTGTGCATCTACCTAAAGTTGCATTTTATTTTATAAATTGAAACTTTTAGGTAGAATAAAAGCATTTTATAAATCATTACTACGCTTACTTAAACACACGTATGACGTAATAATTTTATATTGAATAGAATACTATTCATATCACTGATCTCTATAATAACTATATAAGTTATTATAGAGATCAGTGATTCATATACGCTTACTTAAACACACGTATGACGTAATAATTTTATATTGAATAGTATTATAAGAGATTAAAAAAAACTTCGTTTATCTCACTTTTTTTTTGCGTAAAAAAGTTGTGTATTTATTTTGCAAAAATCCATCGGGTTCAAATCGCTTTCTTGCTAAACGTACAAATGTGCAAAAATCTACAGTCATAGATGTGTTAAATAAGTTCAAGACTACTCAAAGCTTCGAAAGAAAACCCGGAAGTAAAAGAAAGAAAACTTCCCACAAATCCAAAAAGCTAAAGTTGATTCTCAGTTCAATAGCACGAAATTAAAACCAGTCACAGCGAGATCTAACAAGAAAATTCAAAACTTCGCGTGGTTATATCAAAAAAGTACTTTAAAACATTAGAATTAAAATATTTCATTAAAAAAATACACTTAAGAGAAGCTTAAATGGTTAAATTAAAGGATTTTGACGCGCAGTGAAGTTGGTTAAAATAATGGCGAATAAAAGTATGTGCATATTTGAAGACGACAAAATATATTGCAATGTGGATTTTTCTAATCTTTCTGATCAACATTTTTACTAAAGAGAGCATAAACCTGCTAATTATCAAGATGAACCTGCCAATTATCAGTTAAAATAAATTCGACGAGAAAAATTTGCATCCAAGTTCCTTGTATGGCAAGCAGTTTTAGTTGTGTTATGCAACCCTCTTGTTTGTCACTAAGAAGACCTTGACTGCCAATCTCCACATCAAAAAATGCCTCCAAAAAAGACTTTTGCCATTTATGAAAAAACGAAAATACCAATGTCTCTTTTAGAACGATCTTGCTGCTTCTCACTATTTTAAAGAAGGCATACAGTGGTGCAAAATAAAATAATGTGAAATCCTAATTTATGTAAACATTTTCAATATTAAAAAAATAGAAAAAGTATTTATGGTTTAAGAGAAATCTCAATTTAAAGTTGACCGGATTTTTCCGCGTCCACCCGATATCTAAATAAAAGATTAAACTTAAATTCAGATAAATGTATTTAATTTGGTAATAAATTTAGCTGTTTCTAATATAATTATATAACTACAAAGCTTTCAAGCAGGTACATGTTAGTTGTACTAGTAAGGATACGTAAGGCTCATGTGGATTTTTTTTATTCTCGAATAATACAGAAGTCACTAAATCTAAAGTGAATACTATGCATAATAAAGAATACGTTTGACGCTTCACTATTACACTATTTTCGGACGCAATGACTCCGATAATTCGCAGGTAATATTGAATAATGTGTTATCTTGATGACTAAATGCTTTTTGTTGATTAGTTTCCCCCCAGAAGTTTCTAAAGGTTTGCCAATACTTGTTACTGGCATGCCAAGCCTAATACAAGTACATAAAAGGATTACAAAAAGAAATGCTAAACTTCTTTTACATTATAGTAATAACATGAAATAAACAGTTATATTTTTTATTAAAATTGTAAAGAATATTTTTTTTTATATTTTAAATGATGACATTTTAATTTAAGTATTCATGGTTTCTTTTTAATAAATGTAATGTGTTGCTATTTTCTAAAATAACGGACATGTCTAAAAAATTAATTATCCAAGGTTTAGCAACTTTAATAAATTTTTTGCCCTGGTCTGTTTTACACCTGATTTAATTATGTATTTGGTTTAGAGAGTTTTTAAAACAAAAGGTATCTAAATAATTTGATCTAACTATTAAAGGTGCTTTATATTGTTAACGTCCACGTAGGAAATGTTCTTAGATAATTTGCATTATTAAATGCTATTAAAAATTGGAAAAATATACTTTAGGAAAAGTCTTACTTATTAAAAATCGAATTATAAAGCATGTAGTTTGGATGTTCTGTGGTGTTTTTTCCATTATGAAATTCCATCAAATTTTTTAGTTTTGTAAATGAATAATGCTCTGCTGCAATCTGGCTTGACTGTCTGTATATTTGATAAACATGAAATTCGTTTCGTTTTCTTCTGTGATACAACAACCAGCTCCGTTTTTTCAGCCGTTTGTCAGCTCCACGTTGTCAGCACTTGAAGAATCTTTAATTCGTTTTATTTTCCTTTTTTTAAAAGTTGAGCAAAATGAGCTTCTTTTATTATTCATTTTACATTTCGCGGGATGTACAGCGATACATTTAATTCAGCTTCTTCTTGATAATAATCAGCATTGACAAGATTAATGTGTTCTTTGTCTTTGGTAACTATTTAGTTCATGTCGTGTAATAGACATTTATGGAGAAAAAAAACAATTTTCTTCTGTTTTTGTGCAGATTTCTAACAAACTACGCTTGCATGCATAAAAGTCCGTGAACCATCTTTAATGTAAATTAATTGTAATTTAATTGATATTTTGCATTTTGTGCCAGAATAGCATCTTATGCTTTTTTGGACATATGTTTTACATAATATCACTTTAAATCAAAAGTGACAGTAACTATGATCAAAAGCTTTTATCCATCTTAAAAAAATGTAAAGCTGCTTTCATTCTGGGAATTGTTTTGTTATAATAACATATTTTGGCCATAATTCCAATTTTAATGAACTAAAAATATACATATTTATAATAAATGTACTTATAAATAATTAGTGTTATGAATAATTAGAGTAATAATTAGAATAATGATATGTAATGAATAATTAGAATAATGATGAAACACGTATATTTATATTTTATTTTTATTACATTTTAATTGATTAGGTACAGTTTTTATTTAAAATGAAAACAATGCCAAATAAACTTGAAGTAGGCCCCAAAAAAACACAATATAAAATATTTACACTTTTGTTAATTGTTGTTCAAATTTTAAATATAGCATTAAAATTTAAAACAAAATTGTTTAAATTAATTTTTATAAGTTGATTAACGTACCTATAATGTAAAAAAAGAAGTTTAAACCAACATTATTAAGAAAATTTTTAACTTGTTACAATACCCAAATATGGTTTCAACATTCCAATAAATAAATGCTTTTAGGTGTCATTTGAAGGAATGCCGAAATTATCATCCTGCCAAAATTACCCTATTTACCCTAATTTTTGTGGTTTTCTTGGATTGGTTTCTTTATATCCAGAGATATAAAGAAACCAATCCAATTTTACTTTTACATGTTGTTTTTAATTTTTTAACCTTTTTAATAATTGGAAAACACTTGACTCCATATGGAGACATTCTTAAACATATTTTACTCATCACTTTCTCAAAGTTATAATTTGCGATCAAATAGTTTCCATAATTATTATATTAAAAAAAAAACTAAAACTCAGTGTTTTGAATTTTCAATTATATTTCAAGGCCCCAAAACATAAAAAAACTTGAAATATCAAAAATTAAATAACTTAAGTAGAGCATTGTCGGATAAATAGCAAGCAAAACATATTTTTGCATATAACGTAAAAATTTTCGCATATAACATAAAAATATTCATAATTTCGACAGTGGTTTTGCATGTTCGTTTTTATTTTTAAAATTCATTATTCTTAAGGCATGTTTTCGTTTTCGATAGAGTGTTTCAAGCTTGCTTTTAGATGTACTACACCACGCAATATTCGCGTAATTCAAGTAACTTTGTATAAAACTGAAACAGATTTGTTTTAGATGATGCTTATTAAGTAAATCCCTTGACTGATATAGAACGCCAATATTTTTTGATATTTTGCTGCCAATATAGGCAATATGTTTATTCCAGGTAATATTTTCGTCAATGAAAACACCAAGAAATTTTGTGATTCTTTCGCGACTAACTTCTGTGTTTTCAATAACTAGTTTTGGAAAAGAAATAGGAATTTTTTTTTTTTTAAAGGGTGGAATAATAAGAACTTTGTTTTATTTTGAATTAATAGAAAGTTTATTTGCATTGAACCATAGTGAAATTTTATCTAACTCGTTGTTCATTTGTAAAAAGAGTTGAGGTATATCTTTTCCTAAAATAAAAAAGTAACTGTCGTCAGCAAACATTATTGTTGATATATTTGACGCTCTCCAGAGATCATTCACGTATATTAGGAAAAGTAGAGGCCCAAGAATAGATCCTTGGGGCACTCCACAAGAAATGAATAAAGATGAATTTGTAAGTTTTTTATTTCCGTAATATATGGACTGTGTACGTTTACTCAGGTATATATGTCTTCGTCAAGCATCTAATATGGTCCTAATGTTAGAGAAACAAGCAACTTGCATATCAATA